TGGTCAGTTTCAGCAGTGGCTGAATCTGGACGCCAGTTCCGACTTACATACAGATTCAACTTAAGAACAAACCTACAGTCCCTATCTTGTACGTAACCCGGGGACTGCCTGTAAATAATCTATCTCTGCTCCTTTTAGAATTCTCTATTTCCCCTTTTATCTCCATTAAAAATATGGGCCAGTGAAAGAGAGTTGCCCCCAATTTAATGCCCATCAAAGCCCAAGGCCTCCCTGTCTTTGGGGGATCGGTGGCTGCCAGTTGTTCACAGGAAAGTAGGCTGGTCATAGATGGCACAGCTGTGCAGGGGGCTGCTATCTGGGTAACTGGTTCCTCCCTATCCCAGGCAGTGCACTGCCTGCCTGCGAATCTCTATGCTGCAGGATTAACCTCTCACCTTCCCATCAGCCCATTCACCAGTAGTGTCCCTGGCCCCACGGCCAATGGTGTCCACGAAGGATTGCTCCCTGCAGCACTGAGATGCAGCCACTTCTGGGAGCCTGTGACAGATCATGGGTATTTCCGAACTACTTAGTCTCCTCCATTCTCCTGGAAAAGAAGCTCCCCCAGGGCTCCCTCTGCATGTGTGAATGGTTGGCTCCAGGTGGTGGTAACTTTTTATCCATTTCCTAACTCGGATATAAAATCATGGCAGATTTAGCTTCTCTTTTCCCTTCGAAACTGCAGGATTTTCAGGTCTTAAAAGGAAAATTTTCCCTGAGTCCATCTGAATTCTAGGGATGGAGAAGGAAACTGGAGGGTTAATCCCTGCCTCCTCCACCCCAACAATGGCCGGTTTAAAAGGATTTTGGCTTTATACCTCCTGAGTGATGATTCTGGTCTCTTTGGCCTGGTCTACATTACAGCAGAGAATTGAATTAAGATACGCATCTCTAGCTATGTTCATTAACTAGCTGGAGTCGATGTATCTTAAATGGAATTTCTGTACTGTCCACATAGTGGGAGGCCGATGGGAGCATTTGCTTCCCTTACTCCCCGTGAGGGGCAGGAGTAACAGCGCTGATGGGGGGCACCTTTTGAGTTCGATTTAGCAGTTCTTCATGAGACCCACTAAATTGAACCCCACAAGATCGACCGTGGCAGCGTCAATCTTCTGCATAGTGTAGACATGGCCTTTGAAACCAGTGTTGATCCATATTCACTGCAAAGGAGAACAAGAATTGACTCCAGATTAACATGGGGGCAAATTAGATCATCTGTCCCTATGGGGAGCAGGGGCGGATGAGAGTTTTGCGGGGCCCGGGGCAGCTGCCCTACTCGCCCTGGCCTATATATCCACCGCTGATGGGGAGGTGGTTCTATTAGCTGTTCTCAATGGAGAATTCTGGATGCTACTAAAGGCATGGAGGAACTTGCCCTTTTCCTTCCTTCCTCCCTCCCTCCTGTAATCTGAGAGATCAGGTTTAGCAGCTGCGGCTGGGAAGTGACTATAATTAAAGCTTCCTCTGTGACTGACCCAGGCGAGGACTTTCTCCAGCTGGTGCTAGCCCCGTAGGGCAGTTATAGGCTCTGCCAACATCAACGCATAGTCTGGAGACTCCGAGTGATTTTTTTTTTTTTTTTTTGCTCAACAACTTTGGCTCCTCATTTATTTTGCTCAACCAATTTTTTTTTCCTGCCATGTTCGGGATTTTTTGTGAAAGTATCTGGCAACCCTAATAAGAAAGCTTTGGTAGGGTCAGTTCTGGTGGGAGGGGCCAGATCTGCCCTGCATTGACATGATCAAGCATTTCCCCAGCCTGGAATCATAGGACTGTAGGACTGGAAGGGACGTGGTGGAGTCATCACTTTGATATTTTGCCTCCAGGCTAAGAATGCCCAGAAGAGGTGAAGGGGCATGGCTTCCTCAGGCTGCAATGAATGGTTAACCCTGGAGGGGCGATGTTGGGATAGGTATGCCCCATCACACCAACAGGATTGATGTGGACTGTGCTCTGGCAGCAGGAGATGTTCTCCTACCGACATAGCTATCTCAACTTGTTGGGGGTGGTTTAGTTATGTTAATGGGAGAGTTCCCTCCTACCTGCGTAGAGTGACTAGGCAGGGAATCTTACAGCCGTGCATCTGCATTGGGACATCTGTCTCTAGTATAGACAGTCTAATGTACTTCCAGAACCAGATCTTAGCGCCTTTTATGTCCGTTCCTTGGAGTAACTCATTCTGTGCTTTGGCCTTTTTGATCTTGTCTCTACTTGGTTGTGCTGTTTTTCTGGACTCATCCATGTTTCCATTTTTTGAAGGTTTCTTTTTTATTTCCAGCTGCCTTACTGGCCTCGAACTCTTACGTTTGGATCGGGATAATTTGCAGTTATGCCTTTAATATTATCTTTTTGAGAACCTGCCTGCTCTCCTGAGCTCTGTTTTAACAACAAGTAATCCTGTGACACCTTAGAGTGTGTCTACACCCTTAGCTCGAAATAAGCTACGCAATTTGTGCTATGCAAATTGCATAGCTTATTTCAATGTTATTTCAAAATGGCTTATTTCTACACAGCGCCAAATTTCAAAATAACTCACTACTCTGAAATTCCCCTTAACCCTTGTGGAATGAGGGTTACCAGGATGTCAGAATAAACTGCCCGTTATTTTGAAACAACGGGCTGCTTCAATAGACATGGAATAGCTATTTCGGGATACTTCTGATATTCTGAAATAGCTTTGCAGTGTGCTCTTCTTGCCCTGACAGGCTGCAGAATGATGTCCATGTTTTGCTCCAGCTCATCTCATCCTCCCATGGGATGGGGAAGGGAAATGGCTGCAGTAGAGGCAGTTCAGGTAGGGTTTATTGGGGGATTGCTGGTGGGTTCCTGCTTGAGGGAGGGGGCACTGACTACATAAGATGTGAGAACTTCTGGGGGGATTGGTCTGGAGGTGGGTGAGTGGCAGGAAATACACGGGATGGAGAAAAGGAAGGGGACAGGATGTAACAAATCTGCGAGGGACTTGCTTAATCTGGGCCTAGAGTCTAGGAACAGAGCGTGATGGGTTTGATCACAGAGATACCTTTGAGACTGTCACTTGATGTGCTGAAATACCACTGACCCCACTTCTGGGGTACCCCACCACCATGGCTTGCAGAGTCAGATTCTCCAGTCTCCACCAGCAATGGCACGGAGTTGGGTTCACAGCTCACAGCCCAGTAAGGCAGACACTGAGAACAGCTCAGCTCTTGGAAGGTTCTGTTTCCTGTATCAACCCTGTAGGGGTGTGAGAAATGTAAAGACCCTTCCCTCTCAGTCTGAGAGACAAGGGATTCTCTTTCTCTTTCTTTCTTCTTTCATCCTGATGTGTCTTATAGGGTCTGTGCAGTGTGGGGTTAGGACTCTGTAGACCGTGAGCTCCCAGAGCTTCCCTTTGATTGGTTCCTTGCCCCTATGAATGGTGAGGCTGTGAATGGGGCAGCATGTGCTGAGTGTTGGATTCTTACTCTTTCAGGTGTCGGTGACCTTCGAGGAGGTGGCTGTGTATTTCACGAGTGCAGAGTGGGCTCTGCTGGACCCTGCTCAGAGAGCCCTCTACAGAGCCGTCATGCAGGAGAACTACAAGAACATGTCCTCACTGGGTAAGGAGTCCTGTTCCCGCTGTTCTTAGAAGGGGAAAAGAGGATTTATGGTATATGTCACTCCCACAATGCAACCTCTACTCTGTCCTCTTTCCACATCATCCCAACATGTTGGTGACACACACACTAGCACTGTCCCATCCCATCCTACAGAACACGCTGGGAACAGAGCATGGGAGCAGCACAACACAATGTCTAACCTCTGTGCTAAGGCAGAACTTGGGTTTAGGCCTAGAGAATGGAAGCCATCGCCACCGGGCCAGCATGCAAACACTGAGCTATCTTTGCACCAGATAGCTCAGACTTGCAGAATCTTACCTTCCATGTATCCGCCCCTTGAGAATCCCTTCTGACCCATTGCTTCACTTACCCCTCTGGAAACCCTAGAGACCAATAGCATGTTGGCCACTCGCCTGCTGGCTATCCTCATGACAACAACGCATCCTTGTGCACCTTCACTGATCCAGTCTACACCACTCAGCATGGAGATGAGGCAGACTTTGGTCCTCAGGATTCACATGCACCTCTCTTCACACCACAATCACAGCTCTGCCAAACTTCTCATCCTAATCGAAACCCTAATCCTGCCACTTTTCAGTGACAGCGACAGCAGACCCAGTGCACACAGCTGAGGGGCAGGCAGACAAATGCTGGTATTTCAGTCTGGGGAACACAACACACACAATGGCATGTTCTCATAGTCCTTTTTCAAGTCTGACAGACTGATAGGTTTGTCAGGCCAGGTTGTCTCATCTGTAGGGCTCTACCGGATTCACAGCCATGCAAAATGCATCATGGACTGTGAAATCTAGCCTGCTGTTTGCTTTTAGCCTATACCATGTGGATTTCATAGGTCAGACCAGTGTTTCTCAAATTGGGGATCCTGATCTAAAAGGAAGTTGCAGAGGGATCACAAGGTTATTTTAGAAGAGTCACAGTATTGCCACCCTCACTTCCGTGCTGCCTTCAGAGCTGGAGAGCTGGAGAGCGATGGTTGTAATGTTGGCCGAGTGTCCATCTCTGAAGGCAGCACCCTGCCAGAAGCAGCACATGAGTAAGGGGGACAATGACATACCCATGTTGTCCTTACTTCTGTACTGCTGCTTGCAGTGTACCAGAGAGTCCAGCTCTGCAGACAGCAGCATAAAAGTAAGGGTGGCAATGCCAGACCAGGCCATCTTTCCTTCTGCGCTGCTGCTGCTGGTGGTAGTTTTGCTCAGAGGTGGATTCCTGGCCAGCAGCCACCGCAATCTCCAGCTACCCAGCTCCAAAGGCAATGCTGCTGTAAGCAGCTGCACAGAATGAAGGGTAGCAACATCACAACCTCCATACAATAACCTTGCAACCTCCACATAGCTGTTTTTTGTGTCAGGACCCCTACAATTACAACACTGTGAAATTTCAGATTTAAATAGCTGAAATCATTAAATTTACCATTTAAAAATTCTCTGACTGTGGATTGATCAAAATGGACCTTGAATTTGGTAAGACTTTACTCATTCGACCTCATTCGACAAGCCATAGAGTTTTGTGGAGTTATTTCTGTACTGAGCCCAATACCTTGTGTTTGACTAAATCATCATTCATTGAGGCCTCCAGTCTGACTTGGAGGCTACAAGAATGAAGAATCTGCCTCTTCTCTTGCTAATGGTTGTCCTTTGCACCACATGTACTGAATCATTACCAGTGACTACTGTCTGATGTGGGGCAGAGTTAAGGCTGCGTTACAGGTTTGAAAGATACTTTATCTCTTTGTTTTGTGGCTTTCATAGAATCATAGAATCATAGAATAATAGGACTGGAAGGGACCTCAAGAGGTCATCGAGTCCGGCCCCCCCCGCCCTCAAGGCAGGACCAAGCTCCGTCTACACCATCCCTGACAGATGTCTATCTAACCTGTTCTAAAATATCTCCAGAGACGGAGATTCCACCACCTCCCTTGGCAATTTATTCCAATATTTGACCACCCTGACAGTTAGGAATTTTTTCCTAATGTCCAATCTAAACCTCCCCTGCTGCACTTTAAGCCCATTACTCCTTGTCCTGTCCTCAGAAACCAAGAGGAACAAATTTTCTCCTTCCTCTTTGTGACACCCTTTTAGATATTTGAAAACCGCTATCATGTCCCCCCTTAATCTTCTTTTTTCCAAACTAAACAAGCCCAGTTCATGAAGCCTGGCTTCATAGGTCATGTTCTCTAAACCTTTAATCATTCTTGTCGCTCTCCTCTGTACCCTTTCCAATTTCTCCACATCTTTCTTGAAATGTGGCGCCCAGAACTGGACACAGTACTCCAGCTGAGGCCTAACTAGTGCAGAGTAGAGCGGCAGAATGACTTCACAAGTTTTGCTTACAACACACCTGTTGATACAACCTAGAATCATATTTGCTTTTTTTGCAACAGCATCACACTGTTGACTCATATTCAACTTGTGGTCCACTATGACCCCTAGATCCCTTTCCGCCATGCTCCTTCCTAGACAGTCGCTTCCCATCTTGTATGTATGGAACTGATTGTTCCTTCCTAAGTGGAGCACTTTGCATTTCTCTTTATTAAACCTCATCCTGTTTACCTCTGACCATTTCTCTAACTTGCTAAGGTCATTTTGAATTATGTCCCTATCCTCCAAAGAAGTTGCAACCCCACCCAGTTTGGTATCATCTGCAAACTTAATAAGCGTACTTAATAAACTTCAGAGGTGTAAGTTTGGATACCATCCACATGCTGGAAGAGCATGAGGCTGCACTGGGCCTCCTTCACTCTGCAGTAAAGTGGTTAAACAGGCATTACATTTCCTAGATGTAAAAGCTTTTGCGCAAAAGGACTTTTGCCTGAACAGGAGCAGCATAGTATTTCCGCAAGAAGCACTGATTTCTTAAATGAGATCGTCATTGTTCTTGCGGAAATTCAAGCAGCCAGTGTAGACAGCTGGCAAGTTTTTCCACAAAAGCAGTTGCTTTTGCGAAAAAACTTGCCAGTCTAGACACAGCCATAGACTTTAAGGTCAGAAGGGAACATCATAATCATCTCTTTTGACTTCTTGCACCTTGCAGGCCACAGAACCTCAGCCACCTACTCTGTAATAGACCCATTTTTTATACTCCGACCAATAATGCTATGACCCCTTCCATGACCCCTCTTTTATACACTGATAAAAATAAGCTAAGTATTACCCCTCTGACATGGTTAGTTACCACCCTTCACTTATACTTGGGGGTTAGCACAAAACATCTCTATCCATTACCCTGTCATCCTGCCCTTCTCTTTAGGAGGGGTCAGTGTACCCTTGTATTATCTTTGGGGAGTGTTTTTATACCATAACTTTGTACGGTGTGTTCTGGTATGACCCCTTCATTATGTGTTTATGTGAATTTTGAGTACCTAGGAGTGCTTGTGCTTTTCCAACACCAGCCTTCTTCTTTCCAAGTCCACTTATTGGACAGTGAATGTGCAAGAAGGCATCTGCTTTGCAATGAGGCTCAACTTTTGCTCATAGCCAGATTCTTGATAACTTTGCTTTATTTCAACAGGGCCTGATTTTAGCTTAGGTTGTAGGCCTTACATAGGTACCTTATACCAGACCTCATATCTGAGGATCTCTCCACTACAGCAGGATCCAATCCCTGATCCACTGTCCACTCAAAAGTTGTGTCTGCACAACAAAGTTATTTCGGAATAACAGCCATTATTCCAAAATAACTATGCAAGCATCTACCCAGCAATTCCATTATTTTGAAATAAGTTTGAAATAATGGACGGCTTATTCCAACTTTAGTAAACCTCATTCTACAAAAAATAACGCCTATTCCAAAATAGTTATTTCGAAATAAGGTGTGTGTAGACACTCTACTTCCGCTATTTCAAAATAGCTCCTCACCAGGGCCATTCTAAGTTATTCCTCCTGGGGCTCTAAATCGAGATAGCAGGTCTACATTAGGGAAGCCTGCCTCGGAGTAATTTTGAGACTTCCCTGCAGTGTAGATGTGCTCTTTCGAAATAAGCTATTTTGGAATAACTATTCCAGAATAGCTTATTCCGAAATAACTGTGCAGTGTGGCATAGCCAAAGTGTTCACGAATCCTCGAGTCTGGGAATGTGTGACAGGGGAGGGATCACTTGATGATTCCCTGCTCTGTTCATTCCCTCTGGGGCACCTGGCAGTGGCCACTGTCATAAGACAGGATACTCAGCAATATGGACCTTTGGACTGACCCGGAATGACTGCTCTTATGTTCTTATTCCAGCCTATGTCTCACCACCCAGACACTGGACTCTATAAGAGTGGTTACTGAAAACCAATTTTATCAAATATAGGGTCCTTCTAATCTCAAGAAATCAGCCATTTAGCCAGGTCAATATATAACTGAGATCTTACCCAATAATCATGCTTATATCAATCTTTTAGTAACTAAAAACTAAGCATTTAATAATAATAGAAAGAATAAGAAGTTAATAGATCATATACATACAAATAATTGCAATGTCCTTGTATCAGGTTTGTAGCTGTGATGGAATAGGCTGCTGGCTTGTAAAGTGTCTGTGGTAACTTTCAAAAGGTTGGAAGGTCCTCATTCCATTGTTCGAAATGCCCCCTTTAGTTGTAAATCCACAGTTCAGAGGGTCGGGCAGCAAAGAGGAAAAATGGATATATCTCTGGGGCTGTGTCTAGACTGCAGGCTTCTTTTGGAAGAAGCTTTTCTGGGAGACATCTTCCAAAAAAACTTCTTGCAAAAGAGAGCATCCACACTGCTAAAGTGCATTGAAAAAGCAATCTGCTTTTTCGAAAGATAGCGTCCAGACTGAATGGACGCTATTTCGCATGTAAGCTGTGATTACTATGGGCAGAATGGCCACAAGGGCACCTGTGCTTTTTCCTCTTTCCTCTTCTTGCAAAAGAACTCCCTCTTCCCCATCCACACTCACTTTTTCCAAAAGAGCTCTTTCGGAAAAGGCTTCTTCCTCATATAAAGAGGTTTACCAATGTCAGAAAAACTCCTCTGTTCTTTCAATTTTCTTTTGAAAGAACACGATTGCAGTGTGGACATAATTGCAGTTTTTTCGGAAAAATGGCCTGGCTATGTGCGGTTACAGCAGTGTTAGGGAAAGTTAAATCCCCCATAAGCAGAGTGTCCTGCACCTTTGAGCACCTTGGAGCCAGGCTCAGGATTTTACTGCTTTCAAATGAGCTGAGTTTAAACTTCGTGACAGTCGTCTCATGAATTCACCCAATCTCATTTGTTATCTTTCCCTTGAGCAGGGATTCTAGTTTCAAAACCTGATGTGATCTCCCAGCTGGAACGAGGGGAAGAGCCATGGGTTCCAGATCTCCAGAGTTTAGTGGAAAGAGAAATCCTGAGAGGCATCCCCACAGGTGAGGAAACATTAAACCAACTCAGAATCTGCCAATACCTGAAGGAAAGGAGTGGAATTCTCTGCAGACCTTGTGAGCAATCTGTCTCAGCATTTGTTCCATGCAAGCGCTGAATCTTCATTGAAGATTTCAGTCACAGCTTCCTTTCCCTCAGGTCCCTTCCTCACCTCTCTTCCTTTGGATAGAATGTGGCAGCAGAATGTATCCCCTTCTGCTTTCTTCTATAAGGAAGTTTTTAGGGAATTCCTTTCCTGATTTTTCTGTGTCTCCCACACTTACTTTGATTTGCTCTTCTCTTTCCAGTTTCAGTTTCTGATGATTCTCCTTCTGTCCCAGCAGGTGCTGGGATGGTGAATGAGAATACAGAGCAGAATCCTCACCAGGAAGATGCTGATCGAGTGAAAACACCAAGGGCATTATCACAAAGATCTAATGTGAATGTGCCCAGGAGTTGTGAGCCAGAGAGTACCAGCAAGAGTCAGTACAGGCCAGAAAGGCAGCAGGGAAACCAGCAAAGGCAGAAAGTGGATAAATCCAAAGACCTCCAAGAAACCACAGTCCAACAGAGAATGCCCATGGGATACAGAAACAACATATGCCCTGAGTGTGGAAAAAACTTCAGTTACCACTCAGCCCTTATTACACATCAGAGAATGCACACAGGAGAGAGACCCTATGCATGCTGCAAGTGTGGGAAAACCTTTACTGACAGCTCAACTCTTATTATACATGAGAGGGTCCACAAGGGAGAAAAACTCTATGAATGCTGTGTGTGTGGGAAAAGCTTCACCCAGAGCTCACACCTTGTTAGGCACCAGAGACTCCACACGGGAGAGAGACCCTATGCATGCTGTGAGTGTGGGAAAAACTTCACCCAGAGCTCTGCCCTTGTTAGACATCAGAGAATTCACACAGGAGAAAGACCCTACCAATGCACAGAATGTCAAAAAAGGTTCAGTGACAGCTCAGCCCTTATTAAGCATCAGAGGATCCACACAAGAGAAAAACCATATGAATGCTGTGAATGTGGGAAAAGCTTCATTGACAGTTCCTCCCTTATTAGACATGAGAGGGTCCATATAGGAGAGAGACCCTATGAATGTTGTGAGTGTGGGAAAACATTCACTCAGAGCTCAGCCCTTATTAGACATCAAAGAACCCACACAGGAGAGAGACCCTACAAATGCTGTGAGTGCAGAAAAAGCTTCACTGACAGCTCACACCTTATCAGGCATGAGCGGATCCATACAGGCGAGAGACCCTATATATGTACGGAGTGTGGGAAAAGCTTCATTGAGAACTCAAACCTTGTTGCACATCAGAAGATCCACAAGGGCAATAAAAATCATAGCAAAAATATTAAGGAAAAAAAAGTTTGTTAATTCCCATGTAGTGACTTTTGAGGCTGATTGCATTGATTGTGTCACTATGGGCTCAGGCACTTCAAGAGAGTTGCCCATTTTTGCCCTTTACAGCTTTCCCTTTTGAAGGATTAATCCTGTGGATTTTTTTATCAACTCCTTTGACCTATGAGTCATGGCAATACGTGCCAAGAATGTCAATCAGCACCAGGTGGGAAAGATATGGGTCACCTCCACTAGCTATATCAAGGCAAAAATATACTAGGGTCATTTCTTCTCTAGGCTGTTCCATGGAGTTAGCTATCCTCATGTTAACACAGAACTACTCTTGCTGTAAAGATGTAGCCCATGTGTAGTGGTTAGGATTATGCATTTGATACGGTCTCGCATGATATTCTTATTGATAAACTAGGCAAATATAACTTAGATAGGGCCACGATAAGGTGGGTGCATAATTGGCTGGATAACCGTAGTCAGAGAGTTGTTGTTAACGGTTCTAAATCCTGCTGGAAAGGGATAACAAGTGGAGTTCCTCAAGGGTCTGTTTTGGGACCCGTACTGTTCAATATCTTCATCAATGATGTAGATATTGGGATAGAGAGTACGCTTATTAAGTTTGCAGATGATACCAAACTGGGTGGGGTTGCGACTTCTTTGGAGGTTAGGGAGATAATTCAAAATGACCTTAGCAAGTTAGAGAAATGGTCAGAGGTAAACAGGATGAGGTTTAATAAAGAGAAATGCAAAGTGCTCCACTTAAGAAGGAACAATCAGTTCCATACATACAAGATGGGAAGCGACTGTCTAGGAAGGAGCATGGCAGAAAGGGATCTAGGGGTCATAGTGGACCACAAGTTGAATATGAGTCAACAGTGTGATGCTGTTGCAAAAAAAGCAAATATGATTCTAGGTTGTATCAACAGGTGTGTGGTAAGCAAAACTCGTGAAGTCATTCTGCCGCTCTACTCTGCACTAGTTAGGCCTCAGCTGGAGTACTGTGTCCAGTTCTGGGCGCCACATTTCAAGAAAGATGTGGAGAAATTGGAAAGGGTACAGAGAAGAGCAACAAGAATGATTAAAGGTCTAGAGAACATGACCTATGAAGCCAGGCTTCATGAACTGGGCTTGTTTAGTTTGGAAAAAAGAAGATTAAGGGGGGACATGATAGCGGTTTTCAAATATCTCAAAGGGTGTCACAAGGAGGAAGGCGAAAATTTGTTCCTCTTGGTTTCTGAGGACAGGACAAGGAGTAATGGGCTTAAAGTGCAGCAGGGGAGGTTTAGATTGGACATTAGGAAAAAATTCCTAACTGTCAGGGTGGTCAAATATTGGAATAAATTGCCAAGGGAGGTGGTGGAATCTCCCTCTCTGGAGATATTTAAGAACAGGTTAGATAGACATCTGTCAGGGATGGCGTAGATGGAGCTTGGTCCTGCCTTGAGGGCGGGGGGCTGGACTCGATGACCTCTTGAGGTCCCTGACAGTCCTATTATTCTATGATTCTATGATTCTATATAGTCCGTTTCCTCAACATCTCACCTTGCCCCTTCTTGTCCTGGGCTACGTCTACACTGGCGTCTACACTTCGAAGTAGGAATAAGATCCTCCGGAAAAGGGCTTTTTTTCCGGAGGATCGGGGCCAGTGTAGACGCTCTTTTCCGGCTTTTTTAAAAGTCGGAAAAAAGCGGCGGACATTTTTATTTAAATGCCGCGGGGGATATTTAAATATCCCCCGCGGATTTCCCTGTTACGGCTTCTGAAATTAACATGCCCCTTCCGGAAAAGGGGCCAGTGTAGACGTAGCCCTGGTATAAACCAACCTGGGGCACCACACTTATACTGTCCCTCTCACTGAAAAGCTATTATTAGTGTCACCAAATTCGCCCTTTGGGAATAGACTGTCCCACTCCTTGTTTTCAAATTGGCATGGGTGAAGTGCTGCAAAGCTGCTGTTTTTTGTACCATGTTTCTCATTTAAAATATATGTAAATATATCAAAGAGCAGGAGAGGAGGTGTCATTTCAGCCTCTGTGACACCAGATGGGGTAGATAGGAGGGATTCTCTCCTGCATCACTCTAGCAGAAGTGTAGAGTTATCTTCTTCACATTGTTCTCCTCCATCTCCCAGAGTATTTCATGATGCAGTGTGCTCAGTTCTCTGTGATTTAGAATCTCTCTTTGGTGCCTTTGATCCTCAGATGATGGTTGGAAGTGAACATGTTAGTGAATGGAAGAAGAATTCAAATGGATCCCAAACAAAGTGTGGTCATTTGGAGTTCAGGTCCCAGTTTCCATCTATTGGCATGGGATTGCTTGTAGGGTGGAAAGTTGGCTGCTAAAACTTTTGTAAATAACACTACTCAGTAATAATGAAACAGCGCTGAGTAAAGCAAGTTTGAATGGATCAGAGGAGATCATGATGGAAAATCTCTTAACCCAATTGAGTCATCAAGGCTGCGTCTAGACTGGCACGTTTCTGCTTTTGCGGAAAAACTTGCCAGCTGTCTACACTGGCCGTTTGACTTTCCGCAAGAACACTGATGATCACATGTAAGATTGTCAGTGTTCTTGTGGAAATGCTATGCCCCTCTTGCACAAATGCTTTTGCGCAAGAAGGCCAATGTAGACAACATGGTATTGTTTTGCGCAAAAAAGCCCCAATCGCGAAAATGGCGATCGGGACTTTCTTGCACAAAACTGCGTCTAGATTGGCACGGACGCTTTTCTGCAAAAAGTGCTTTTCCGGAAAAGTGTCCATGCCAATCTAGATGCTCTTTTCTGCAAATGCTTTTAATGGAAAAACTTTCCCGTTAAAAGCATTTGTGGAAAATCATGCCAGTCTAGACGTAGCCCAGATGTTTGTTGTTTTGGAATTTCATTTTATATGTGACTGAAAGTATCTTATTACCGCTCTGTGATGTGAGTTTTTTTCCCTTTCCTGAGAGCTATTGGTCACATAACTGGATGCTAATCTTGCTTGACAGAATTTAGCTTAGATTTATTGGGGACTTTGAAACAAATGATCTTTTTAAAAAGTTATTTATTTATTTATTTTTGCTTTCCCTTCACCTCTCAGTGAGGATATGGAGGAAGTTCAAATGCAGTTCAGTCAACAAGGGATAATACTCCATGCTATTTGACACGTTACCATGGAAATAGTACTGTTCATTCAGAAATGGTGAACTAGAGGATACCCTACACTGTGCAATCAACTGAAGTAACTGAGTACAGCTACAGTGTTTTTCGGTGCCTTAGGTCAGTATTGTTTCAGATAATCTGGGAGAATTCTGCATTAAGTGAGTTGGAACTAGGAAGATGCAAGTCTGTTGGCTCCTTATGATCCAGGCCCTACAAGAAGGTACTCCTGAAGAAAGCTAGCTCAGGGATGGGCAAGATCCAGCCTGTCAAGCCATTTCATCCAGCCTGTGGCCTGTTCTGCTGTGCTCCTGTCCCCAGGCCAATTGAGACCCAGGGGCAGAGCAGTGGGAACCACCAGCTGTTCAAAATGGCTTCTCCCCATGGGGGAGTGCACAAAGTCTCCTCCCCCACTGCACACAGCACCTAGAGGGAAATTCCCCTTCCAGCTGAAGCCCTGCCCCTTCTGGGATTTGCCTGCGGCCACTAGCAACATTAATCACGTGGTCCCCCTACAAAAATTACTGCCCTCCTCTGTCCTAGCTACTCTGTGATCTGGGAAATGCTGTCCCAAACGATGCAGATGTGGAGAAAATGGAAGTGGCGGTTTTGTTGAACTCACCCTTTGTTGCTTTTGTAAATGTGTCCAAAATGAAATCAGTGTTAAATGTGATAGTGGCAAAACAAAACAAACAGTTTTTAAAAAGAAACCCCACCTCTGCTAGCTACCAGAGAGTCTGATCCAGGCCTGTGTCTGGTCTCTAACTTAGATCTGGGCCAGCAAATTCAAGAAATGAATTGAGCATGTTTGGGGAAGTTGTTCCTCACTAACACGGCTGATATTTTGGGTTGTGTGGAAAAATATTTTTTTTCCAAAGAAATGTAAATTTACCCTGACCAAGGTCAAGCACTTAGGTAGAAGGGGGACCACAGTTGCTGGTCCCCCTCTACTCCTCAGAAAGAATCTGTGGAAAACTAACATCCTGCTAAACTCAAATGAGAGCACCAGTGCCTAGTTCAGTTGCATTCACTACAGTCCCTAAGAAAGCCATTGTTAAACTGAAAACAATTGTCCTTTACCATTTGGATCCAAAGGGTCATAAGCTAAAGAAAGAAACAACTGATGCCTTCAGAGAAGACTCCTTCCCTGCAGATCCATCTGTCTGCCTTGGTTGGGCAAACAGAACTTTCATGCTATGCAAGCGATGGAAGCCAATGAGGGAATGAATATGAATCACAGTTGGGGGACCCTGCCCCACCATAGTACTGACAGCCCACAATGTCTCGTTTCAGTCGGTAGACATGCCCTTGGTAAGGATGTGCACCAGTGACCAAAGGAACACAGTGTGGATGCGAACTACTGCTTTAATTATTGTGGTAGCTATATGTTGATTTAAATGACTTAATTCTGTAGTATAGACAAGTCCTTCATTTTTCTCTTGTTTTATGTATTTGTATCACTTCTCCTTTACTTCCTACTATTCCAGAATACTACAGCACTAGTTCTTTTTTCTCAAGGTACATAGTGTCAGACCCCTTTCATCAACTCTTACTGCAGAAAACTCAGAGATAAGGGGACTCATAGAAGTCACCTGTATAGAGGTAAACTACAACTTTACACACTTAATGGAAATGGGAAAAAATAGATCAGGTAAGATGTTTGTAATCTTTGGCTATACTATTATTACTAGTGTAAATGAAATTAAATGAGAAGTTGTTGGTTAAAGAGTATGGGTATGTCTAACTAACTCATTAATTCGAGCTAGGTAGGCAAATAAGGTGACCAGAGTTGCAAATGAAGCCCGGGATTTAAATATCCCGGGCTTTATTTGCATGTTCCTGTCCGCTCGCCATTTTGAAATTTCACTAGCCCGAACTCACTGCCGCGTGGCTACACGCAGCAGTGAAACGTTAATTTGAACTAAGTTCTTAGTTCGAATTAACTGTTACTCCTCAGTAAGATTAGGGTGGGGAATTGGCGAGAGAAATAATGTACATGGAACTACCGACACAGCATTAACTTTAATTATTTCTATTTCAAATTGAATTTATTTTGATAAGTCAATTTCTGTTCAGAGGAAAACTATTTAAGGAGACTAATTTTACCCTCACCCAGGGAGACTACAAGGTTAACTGAGTTCCAGCTTGTTTACAAAGGAAAGGTATGACATCTCTCATGAGATGTCCACACTCTTATTTCTAACAATGGCATTGTAATGCTAATACATGCTCATTTTTATGGTAGCTAAGACTTGTTAGAGGTTTCATATGTTTATTATTGATCATTCCTACATGGGTTTGTGTTGTTTACCTTTATTCCCCCATGGCTATTAATTATGATGTTTGTACTATATGGAGCTGAGTAATCAAAATGGTTTACCACAGGCCTCAATTTTTTTTAAAGGTGAGAAATTAGAACATCAAAGGCATGGTGTGAAAAGCTGGTTCGAACCAACTGACTTGTAACTGACGTTGCCTCAGAATTCTAATACCACTGACTCTATATAAGGAACTGGGCAGGTGACATCACAGGACTGTCCGTTCAGGAGGCAGTCATGTGTGGTCAGGGTTTTGTGCTGTCTCCAGGATTGAGGCTTGAAGAGCCCTGTGACATCAGCCCCGATACCATCACTTCCCTGCTAGCTGAAGTTTCTGACCATCCATCCTCCACAGCTCTAGACTCTGTGGCAGCGGCTATCATCTCGCAGCTGAGGCCCAGTGTTCCTCCCCAACAGCTACCGTGGCCCGAGGGCAGAAGGTCTCACCATACACTACCATCTGACCTCTCTATAGAAGGCATCTGAATGAGTAGGATAGGTATATGTATATTGGGGATTTTGTTGATTCTTCTGTCAGGGAGGGGTATATTGGGCCTAAGGTTCAAGCTTTGTTGCAGTCATTATTGTTGGGTTTTGTTTGATCTGGTATTTGTTTGTTTTCCCCTATATCCCAATTTATGTGATTAGACCCTAATACATTATTTACCTCTTTGGAACACACTTTTTCCTCCTCATCCTGTTGTATGTCACTTATAAAGGAAAATGAGACATCTACTTCCTCAGGTGATAGATCCTGTCACAGGTCAAAAACCTGATACCTGTAAAGGGGGAACAGAGAAATACTTGGATTATTTGATCTATTGTTTTGATTTTCCCTTTGCTTACAAACTCAACAGTTAAAGAGTAAGGTTGTGTCTAGACTGCACCCCTTTTGAGGAAAAGGGATGCAGATTAGTCACAGCGCAATTGCAAATGAAGCAGGGATTTAAATCTTCCCCGCTTCATTTGCATGAACATGCCTGCCGCTTTTTTCCGGCTCAGGGTTTTGCCGGCAAAAAGTGCCAGTCTAGACGGGGATCTTTCGGAAAATAAAGCCTTTTCCGAAAGATCCCTTATTCTTCTTAAAATCAGGAATAAAGGATCTTCCGGAAAAGGCTTTATTTTCCGAAAGATCCCCGTCTAGATTGGCGCTTTTTGCCGGCAAAGCCCTGAGCCGGAAAAAAGCAGCAGCCATGTTCATGCAAATGAAGCACGGGAGATTTAAATCCCCGCTTCATTTGCAATTGCGCTGTGGCTAATCTGCATCCCTTTTCCGCAAAAGGGGTGCAGTCTAGACACAGCCTAACTGTGTAACCTTCAGGCCAAGCTGTGAAACCGTCCTCACAACTAGTTTTTTCCAAACTCTCATTAGCTTGGAGTCTGCCTCATTCCAACTGCATTGGGCCATATTAGCTGTACCCAGCATTAACTTGGCACCTGATTTGCTCTGAGACCTCAGGAAACACAACATAAAGTGGGGTTAAGCTGGAATCATCAACCATAAAGATCAAAGTTGAGGCTGGAGTCATTCCTCTTTCAGGTCAACAAGCTATCTGCAAAAGACTGGAATCAATGTGGCTTAGGTTGACTTACTGCAAGGTGTACATTGACTCCATATAAGGAACTGGACAACACCACATCATCACTCTCCTGTCAACTTACCTTACTTTTTCATTCATGGTGGAGTATCAGATACAACTGGAGAACAACCTGCAGTCAATCTGGCAAGTCTCCACTAGACCCACTAAATAAACCCCTGCTGCATCCATTTCTAGAGCACCAATCCAGCTATAGTGTAGATATAAGAACAGCCATAGTGGGTAAGATCAAAGGTCCATCTAGCCTACTATCCTGTTTTCCAACAGTGGCCAACTCTATACGTGCCCCCAGAGGGAATGAACAGAACAAGTATCATTAACTGATCCCACCCCTGTTGCCCATTCCCAACCTCTAACAAACAGTGGCTAGGGACACCATTCCTACCCATCCTGGCTAATTAGCCATTGATGGACTTGTCCTCCATGAATTTATTTAGCTTTTTTTTTAACTCTGTTAAAGTCTTGGCCTTCACAACATCCTCTGGCAAGGAGTTCCACAGGTTCACTGTATGGTGTGTGAAGAAGAACTTCCATTTGTTTGTTTTAAACCTGCTACCTATATGGGGAAAGCAGTGGACATAATGCAATAATGATGGGTTCAGTCACAGAGGCCCCTTGGAGCTGACACTCATTGTGCTGGTCATGCCACTGAACCCACTTACCTGCCCTCTGGGGCATCCCACCACCCTGTCCTGCTAGGTCAGTAGGGTTGCCAGGTGTCCGGTATTGGCCCAGACAGTCCGGTATTTGCGGCTTCTGTCTGGTAAAAAAAAAAACAGAAAATACCAGACATGGAAAATGTCCGTCATTTTCTGTTTTTCTTGGACTGAAGGCTGCGTGGGACATTCTTCCCCTGCTGTGTCTGGTGGGAGTGGGGTTGGGGGGACGGGGAAATAAAGGAACCGCAACTCTTTTTTGTGTGTGGGTTTTTATGTGTGTGTGTGTGGGGGGGGGGAGTTGCTCAACCATTTTTTTCCCCACCATGTTTGGTATTTTTTGTGAAACTATCTGGCAACCCTATAGGCCGGATGCTCTGGTCTCCCCCAGCCAAGGCACAGAGTTGGGGTAACAGCCTCTCTGCAGAGCAACACAGAAACTGAACCAACTCAGCTCTGGGAGGGCCTGACAGCATTCAGGAACATAACCTTCAAAGGAGACCAAAACCCCAAATAAATCCCTCTTACTCTGTATAAAATGTTACACTCAGAAAGCTCATAAGTTCACACCCTTTATCAATGAAAGAGAGAGATGCACAGTGGTTTTTCATGCCTACCCCCCCCCACACGGGAGCAAAGCTTAAACTCGGGCCGGGGCACTGCTTGCGTGCATGACGGGGTGGGTGGGGTAGGTGATAGGACCACACAAGTGAGTTGCAAAAAAACAACCCCTCCAAAACCTTCCACGCCTCACTGATGTGGTCCCAGCTCAGACATCTCACTCCCCTGGCACTCCAGCCTTATGTGTGGGGAGGGTAGGTAGGACTGAGTTTCAAGGCCTCAGGCCAGATTAACTCTTCTGGGGTTCCAGGATTAGTGGAATTTGTGGGCCCCTCCACACTCTGAGGTGAGGCCAAAAATGAGGGATCCCGTGTGTGGGACAGGGCTGCCAGTGAGTGGGATAGGGATAGGGGTATAGAATCGAGGTGGAAAATAGGGTACCAGTAGCAAGCTTGGGGTAGGTTTCTGTCCAGGAGGGAGGGGTCAGGTGCAAGGTGTTGGTGTATGTCTGGACAGGGGGCAGATGCAGGGTGCTGGTGGGTGTCTGGCCACAAGGCAGGGGTAGGGGCCTGGTGGAGGTTTGGGCAGGGACAAAGTGCTGATGGGTGTCTGACCAGGGAGTAGGAGCAGGGTGCTGGATGGTGACTGGCCACGAGGCAGGGTCAGGGTCTTGGTGGGGGACTGGCCAGGGGGCAGGGTCAAGGTGCTGGTGGGGATTTGGCCAGGGGGCAGGGTGCTGGTGAGGGACAGGACAGTGGGCAGGGTGTTGGTGGGGGCAGGAGGCAGTGTGCTGGTGAGGGCAGGGTGCTGGTGGGGCCCTGGGCAGGGTACTCATGGGGATCTGGGCAGAGGGAGGGAGAGGGTGCTGTTTTAGGGTTCTGGCCAGGGGACAGGGACAGGAACAGCTTGGCCAGTACTTGGGGATCCTGTGGCACATGCTGTTCCTCCCCTTCCCCAAACAGTTGGCATGCTTCCTGAAAAGCCAGGTCTGGTGCGCAGCCAGGGACAGAGCATCTGGCCTATAGGGTTGCACACCCTGCTGCAACCCACTTGCCAGCCAGGTCATAACCCAAACCCTCTGTACCCCTTCCCCAGGCCAGAATCATCTCCTGCACTCATATCCCCTCTTGGACCCTAATCCCCTTCCCCAGGTCCCTACCCCCTCTTTAATCCAAACTCCCTCTCTAACCTCACAGTCCCTCTTACACCCAAATTCCATACCCCAAGTTCTCTTCTGCACCCAACCTCAATCCCAGACTGCATACCCGCTCCAAAGAAAAGTGCAACCTTGAACCACTTACCAAAATCTTGGAACACTCCCCCCCCAAACAATTATTGCCCACCCCTACCCTAACCTCCCCTCCACAGTACAGAAACTTCAAGCTCTGTCCCCTCCCAGTCTGGGAGGTTGACAATGTAGGGATGGGAGGCTTCACATACCACACTTCAACTCTAAAAGCCACATGTGGTTCATGAAATGCCTTTTGACCATCCCTGCCATATGACATAGCAAAAATAACATTGCTGGACATGACGGGAAAGATAGAATCCCCCCAACTCACCTCATCTCCCTCAGGTGTCACAGAGATTAAGATGAAATCCCCCCCCTTGTTATATTTACACATAATTTAATTTAAAAGAAAAATGGTACAAAAATTACTGAGGAAATGAGAAAGATGAGTCTGTCCATGATGCACAGACTGTCTTTAACTGTTTATTTACGTCAGAATAGCAAACTCAAGCTTACAAACTCCATGAACAATCTAGTGGAGAAGAGGTCCAGGTAGCGTTTACCTTGAAGTAATTAATTGAGGTCATTATTATCTTCCCTACATGGGACTGATGGAAATTTTTGATAGGCAGGACAAAGGACTTTAGAAAAGTACCATGGGAAAGACCCTAAAGAAAAGTAACATGTAAAGCAAAACCTGGAAAGTCACATGAGTAAGCTGCGGGAACACAGTAAATCAATGGTGGAAACAACTTTACAGGTAACTGTGGGAATTCCACGGGGTGGGTGGGGTAGGTGATAGGACCACACAAGTGAGTTGCAAAAAAACAACCCCTCCAAAACCTTCCACGCCTCACTGATGTGGTCCCAGCTCAGACATCTCACTCCCCTGGCACTCCAGCCTTATGTGTGGGGAGGGTAGGTAGGACTGAGTTTCAAGGCCTCAGGCCAGATTAACTCTTCTGGGGTTCCAGGATTAGTGGAATTTGTGGGCCCCTCCACACTCTGAGGTGAGGCCAAAAATGAGGGATCCCGTGTGTGGGACAGGGCTGCCAGTGAGTGGGATAGGGATAGGGGTATAGAATCGAGGTGGAAAATAGGGTACCAGTAGCAAGCTTGGGGTAGGTTTCTGTCCAGGAGGGAGGGGTCAGGTGCAAGGTGTTGGTGTATGTCTGGACAGGGGGCAGATGCAGGGTGCTGGTGGGTGTCTGGCCACAAGGCAGGGGTAGGGGCCTGGTGGAGGTTTGGGCAGGGACAAAGTGCTGATGGGTGTCTGACCAGGGAGTAGGAGCAGGGTGCTGGATGGTGACTGGCCACGAGGCAGGGTCAGGGTCTTGGTGGGGGACTGGCCAGGGGGCAGGGTCAAGGTGCTGGTGGGGATTTGGCCAGGGGGCAGGGTGCTGGTGAGGGACAGGACAGTGGGCAGGGTGTTGGTGGGGGCAGGAGGCAG